ACACCCATAATTTCAAAGTTGTGCTGAGCTTAACAGTCTCTTAAGAAGTCTGCCATAGCTGTCAGGTTCTGTGAACACGTCTGTGCTTTTTAGGGACAGTCAAGGCACTGTTAATGCTGTTGTGACTTGTGGCCTGTGAGCTTAATTGAGGGAAGTATAAATCTCGGAAGTTCATAAATAAAGATATAATTTTTCCCATGCAAGTTCACTTTCCTCCTCAATTGGGGTTCAGTGGAGCTCAGGTTCATAAACCCTTTCAGGAGACAGGACATCCACCAAGTTACCACACAGGTAAATGTGGGGTTTCAGTCGTGGCCACTCTGCGATGAGGCAGTGTGGGGCTGGAGAGCACAGGGGTCGTGACGTGCCCAGTGGGGGCTGGTTTATTGTGGGCCGCTACCTGAAGGGCCATGAGGGATGTGAGCTTGAATAGTATGGTCACGTTGTGTTGACTTTCACCTTGTTCTGCTTGTGTTTCAGGATTAAATGGTTTCAGTGTGCTCTTCTCTGGCAGTCAGATCCTCCATGCTGTGGGACCCTCTTCAGGTCAGCTGTCGTCCCTCAGTGTCCCTTGCATGGTCTTACCACCTCCAGCACTGGGCTCTTTTCCTGTTCTCTATTCTCCCCCAATGCCCAGGCCACTGTCCTCTGCCCCTGGTGCTCTCCCAAACTCAGGACCTGTGAATTTGGGCCTGTCTGGCCTCGGATCAGCAGCTCACCTTCTCATCGGCCCTGCGGCCATGCTTAATCCAAAATCATCGACTCTCAGCTCCACAGACCCTCAGCTGCAGGGTCCGCTTTCACTTAACCTGAGTCCCGTGATGTCGAGAGCACACGCCATCATCCAGCCTGAGTCGCCCGCTTGTGGGGGACATCCAGTCTCCGCAGTCCAACTACAGCAGGTGAGCGCTGGCGTTTCATTTCGACTCAGCACAGGGCCCATGGCTCTGAGATGAGTGTGCCTGCGTTAATTAGCTCCGATTACAGTCCCGTGACCGTAGGACGGGGGCTCTCCGTCAGGTTCTACCCAGCTTCCACCGGAGACCCAGCGTTGTCTGCTTACTTAGAAAGCACAGTCTTAAGGCGGCAGACCCTGTGCTTGAAGGATAAAAACATTTTTGAGTTGTCAATTTGTTTCTTAAAATTAGAGTGACTTATTTTAGGCATAAGTCAGGGGGATTTTTGATGAATGCCGAATGTTCAGATGATTTCTCCAAGCTTTCGTTTCATTAGCTCAATAAAGGAGACCACTCTGAATTTTAATTGTCCAGCTATAGAAACAGCCAAGGGAAATAGAAGTCTTGATACTACCACAAAGACTTTTAGCATTTGTCATTTCTTAAAATGCAGTGTTTAGGAGGGAATGGAGATATATATGTTCAAATGAAATATATGCAAATGTACGTATATGAATGTATATAGTCAATATAAATTAATCAGTATTGTCTTTCCCCCCCCCCAAACTCTATTTGTAGTTCAGTCAGTCAATATTTATTGAATTTCTATTAGGCATTAGGCATTGTTCAAAGTGATTACTTCTCTCCCAGAGAAAAAGTAGTCTGTGGCCAAAAGTATTTTAGACAAGTTTACTCAGAGGCCCAGAAGTTTGCTAGACACCGAAATAAACATGTTAGGTTTTAAGCAAAGTGGTTGTAACATGGCACATGCTTTTTGATCACTAGTTATGTGCTAGCCACTGACCTAGGCAGTGAGGATGTAACAGTAAGCAGGATGATGCTCCCTGCCCTTTTGGGGCACATTAAGGGGATAAATACTTAACATTTAACTTGAGAGGATAAATATTAGCAAGTAAACCAAAAAAGCCAAGACACATACACTGACTGTTTGCCTGGCATGGTCTAAAGTGCTTTATAAATATTAACTCATTTCCTTCCTACAACCCTGTGAAGGCGCTCTGTATCACCCCATTGTGTGGATGTCCCGCACTGAGGGACACACGGTTAGGTAACCTTCCTGAGGCCACACAGCCAGCGGGGGCGGGTGTCAGTGCCACACTCGGAACCTCTTTGCGAGGCTGCCTTTCTGCACACGGAATAAATGAGTTAATCTCCAGTCATGATAAGTGTTGTGCAGGAGAGAAGTCAGATGAGTGTGACAAAAGCAGAGGGGAGAATGCCTGCATCAGGGTCTCAATGACACAGTCAAGAAAGGGCTTCCACATCAGAGATGGAGGGCAGTTTCTTTTCACTTCTGCTTTTCCTTACCCCTTTTTCGTTTTCAGTCACCAGCTCCGGTGACCCCCAAGAGCATCCGACGCACACATCGGGAGACATTTTTCAAGACACCTGGCAGCCTCGGAGACCCTGTCCTTAGGAGAAGAGAAAGGAACCAGTCACGAAACACCAGCTCGGCACAGAGGAGACTTGAAATCCCAAGCAGTGGGGCTGACTAAGTGACACTTTGCCAGGCAGGGTGGGAACAGACCACCTGAATTTCCTCGTGTATTGATCACATCCTGATGCTGAACGGAAAGCAGAATGCAGACCATCAGTCTTCAGCACGCATCCTTCCTCTCTTCCACCCGTGGTTCTGATGTTAACTTCCCATCATCGTGAATCATCTATTTTCCTGAAAGTAATTGTTACTAATTGTGCATTTGATACCAGAGTCCGGACTCTGTACCTGATGTCACCATGACAGCGCCGACTGACTTTAGTGGTTTCAATTCAAGAATCCTCTTATTGCTGGGAGTCGACCTGAACAGGCTGTGGGGTCTGGTGGTTTTTCTAAAGGGGGGGCCTGTCTAGCACTTACCTGGGGTGAGCATTCTTGCCACGTGTTTGCCCTCGCCCTGAGGAGATCTGTGGTGAGAGAAGCTTCTTTCTGCAGTTTTAAAAAAGCTACTGCTTCCTTAGGCTTCACCGGGAAGCCAGCATCAGTTGTGAATCCTATGGTATTATTTATTTTGTTCCTGAAATGGGATTTAGTGCAAAAAGTTTACAACTACAGCAAAACACATGTTTTTCAGGGTATGACGACTTGAATGTTTCTACTTTTTTTGTATGATTTGCCCTGCACTTATTTTACAGCCTAGGAAAAATGTGGATAAATGTATATACATGACAGAACGTCAAGACCAAAATAACTGTGAAAGACACACCTGCTCTGATGAACTGTGCTGACCTCTCTGGGCCTGAGAACCAAGATGAACTTGGCAGCCTGACAGCTGCTTGTCGAATAGCTGTGTGAAGGACGAGGTTTTACTGTTCCTTTGTAGAAGTCCTACCGTGCTCACTTGCCGTCACCACCTGCCCCTGTGGTTTTATATTTAAATGTTGACTGTAGAGTGTCAGATATGGGTGCCTTCTAATAATTGCTGTTTATTGAATAAATCAGGAAAGTGGAAAGTAATTATATGGAAAATTGGAACCTGGATGGGACCTTTTGATAGAATTCTGAAGAGTAACGATGTAGAAATTGATAGAGGACAATAGGTGATTCTTTTATTTTTTTCCTTTACTTTTTTTCTGCATGTTTGGAAGGGCAAGAGGGAAAATGGACACATTATGTTCAGTATTCAAACCAGAGTTATTTTTCAGAGTACTTCTGACAAATAAGAATGCTGAGTGCAGGGGTTCATTGTTCTCGTGCGAATGCAGTATCCCTTTGTTACATCATATTACTTTAGGTTTCATTAAGTAGCCAAGCTAGATCTTGTTTTCCTGGATTTATGGATATTCACCTCATTCTTGTCTCTTCAGAGTAAACGCCTTTCTCCCTCCACCGTCCCTCCCTCCACCCTTCCTTCCTTTCTTTGTTCCTTTCTCTTTTCCTAAACTTCTATCTTAGATTTGGATTCTTGGTGTAGGGTTTTATTTTATTCTTATTTTTGGACCCAATAAAATATTATATGAAAGAATAAAAATATTAATTTAAGAGACTCTGGGAGTCTCAGTAAAGTAGCTTTATATTAACTACAGGATAATATTAGCCTTATTACCCCCACGAGATTTTTGAAAACTTCAGGTAGGTAGTCAGATTAAATAAATTTGCTATTATATAAAATTTTTTATCAACACTAAACTTTTAAAGTTTACAAGATTTTTTTTTTCCCTTTTTCAGTCTTCTCTAGAGTTAAACAGATAAAAACATGGTTCTGATCATCAACAATTGCATGGTAATGATTACCCTAAACTAGTATGATAGGTTCCCCATCAAGACGTAACAATCTGCCTTTTCCAGGTAGGCTACAGCCATGCAGCGTATAGGCCTGCCCAGGGGATGTGGGTTTTCAGTATGCCACGCTCAAGACCTTCCACAAAGTACTCCCACTTGAGAGGTGTGCATTTAGATGAAAGCAAACTGATACGCCCTTCCTGTTCTTGGATGCTCGCCACTTACTACTTTAACTTCTTTTTCATCTTTTTTTATTCTGTTCATGATATGACTACATAAACCTCAGAGAATTCACGGTTCTTGAGGAGTGTTAAGAAGCAGCCCCATAGAGGAGACCATTATGACTGTGACATACTTAGCAGTAGAAAACTAAGAACAAACTCCTTCTGTGCTCAGTACCCACCTCTTAATGTGGCTTTGTGATACATAAAGATGAAATAATAATGCAGTGGTTGCTCCTGTCAGGACGCGAGTCTGTTTCTTACAGAGCAACTGGCGGTAGTGACGCTGCTGAGCTGCACGTGGGTATTTGCGTGCGTGAAGAAGCTGTAGCCAGCCTGAGTCGATCATTGTGTAAATTAGTAAAAGGAAAAACCCATTGTTGGCGATCCTGCAGCTTTTGAGTTGGCACTGAGGAAGGTGTGTGCCCTACACTGTCCAGGGTTTGTGAAACCCTTTCATTCTGGTACAAGAGTTGGGGGTATAACTTTTATACTTGAATCTACCTACCAAGTTTACATTTCTCAATTCCTTTTTATAAGGTGCTATTTCTGTATTTAAATACCTTTTTTTTTCCATGTAAAGCTGCTTTCTGCTTCTCTTATTGCACTGCTAGTTTTACGTAGGTATTAATTTTATTGCTGCATACTGCTTTTTTCCTGTTATTTAGTTCTTTTTTTTCCTAACAGCTATATTATCTATAGCTGTCTACTTGTAACTTTACTACATGTAAACTGATTTTTTTCTTTTAGAAAAATCTTAAGCTTTATAAATAGTAATAAAAACGAATTCATTTAATAAGACGCAGGCCGTGTTCGTTGGTGGACTCTCTCTGTGTGCCATTTTCAATAAAACCCTAACAGGTGCAGCACAGCCAGCCAGACCCTCATAAGCCCAAATCAGATCTCCACTGAGACCTCCGGGTGGTTCCCAGATGCCAGCCCTGTATCCGCATCACATGGGCGCTTGGGAGGGTTGAGGGCCGTGCTGTTGACCTGCTGGTTTCCACCTGAGTGAGAAACTCCTGCGGTTTGCGGCTTCCAGATGATTCTGATACTTATCCAATATAAGAATCACAGGTGAATGCAGACCACCTCCCTGACGTCTCATGCTATCAGCAAGGTGAAACGCCTCTCAGTCTAGCCAATGCCCACCTTTCATTCAAAGCCGGATTCTCTCGTTCACCCTCATTATTTAAAGAACCTCCAAGCAGACTTGTGGGGTAATCATGAAAGCAGCTTTGTTTTGCCCCCGAGTGTCCCTGTAAGCCTGGTCGATGGGGGTGACACACCGGCCCTCGGATGAGCGTTAAGTTAGGTGCTGTGGTTTATCTGGTTACTGTAAGAGAACTTCTCACTCATTTTCAGTTACAAAGACAATCTCAATTCATTGTGTGGAAAGAGCATTTAAAACTTCACCACCTAGGTCACAGGATGAGAGAAGGCGGGCTCCTTTGCCTCTTTGCTAAGCACTTCTCCTTCCTCACGTGCTTGCCTGGACTTCTAGCCCCAGCAAGGTCAAAGCAGGCGGTGGGAGAGGCAAGGGCAGAGGATATCAGGGGGTTAACAGGCACTGCCGTAAGCGGGCTTCTCATACCGCGGGACTGGCCCACGTTTGAGCTGTTTTGCGTGGCCAGTTCTTCAGAGGCCTCAGGTTGGCAACATTTGCCTGAATTTCCTGTGATGCGAGCAGTGCGTTTTCCTCCAGCTGCTCTTCTCTCTCAGAATCTGGTTTTCCCGCAGTCCACTCCACACAGACTCTTGGGCGGGATTTAGAACAGTCCAGGCTGGCTCTATCTGCCACAAGCCTGCATCCAGTGCCCTTTGCCCCGATTCTTGGCCAGAAGGCCCAGCCAAACTCCCAGCAGCCTCTCCCTCCCTCCCCTGCCAAAGCTGCTAGCCCCCCCACAACCGCCAGGCACCCCAGACCAGAGTCACACACCAGAACTCTCTCCAACTGCAGGCAAGAAATGAGGCGAGCAGCACCCTCCCTCCCCTCAGTGGCTCCAGGGAGGCACCACAGCATAACTCTCCAAAGAAATGTCCACAAAACCCATTTCTCCTTCCATTTGCTCAACCCCTTCAAGGCTCTTTCAAGGCCTTATGGGTGAAGGGCTTCCGTGGTCGTGTAACTGGTTAGCGAGCCTCCTGCTCTATCCGTTCTTAGGAATGCAGCATTTACCATAACTTAGTGTCGCAGCTCACCATTTACATCTGGGTAAAACAGTCAGAAGTTTTTGTTGTCCAAGATTTGCGTTTTCCTAGCTGACTGTTATGGCACTTAATATCTCATCCTTATAAAAGTAATTTTTGATAGATATTGATGTGTTTGAAGTGTTAAGATCAATTTGATTAGCTTGACATCTTTCTGTCCTGAAAATGCTTCTGAAATTAAGAAATCGTACCTAAAGCTAAATTTTCTGAAATTTTCTTCTTTCCGTTCTCTCCGATCTAAATCCTTTTTTGTCAATAGCCCGCTGGCAGCCTTCAGTTTGACTGGCACTTCTCTCCAAGCGTCCAGTCTTTCCCCAACTGGGCCCTGAAGAGCTCGATTGTTCATAGATATTCAGAGTCAAATAAAGTGGGTAATCCTGGTAAGACAAAATTAAACACTTCATTTTTTTTACTATAGGATTTATCAGAGATTTAAATTTGCAAGAGGAAATATAGTATATATACAAATTTTTTTAAACAGTTTGATAACAGGACCACTTTTTTCTTAGAGTATCTTACAAGCATAAAGTTCAGCAGAAGTCACTTTGAGAAGCAATGAATTAATGCACCAAACAACCCTCTGAAACTTCCTTAGCCTTCAGCTTATTCAGGTCAGAAACCATAGATGATTTGTATCTGTATTCACAATGCCTGCCACAAAATGTGCACCCAGTAAAAACTTGGGAAGAATAGTTGACGGGTGAGTTACCACAGGTAATTTAATAAAAAAAAAAACTTAGAGAGCTTTTTCACTGCATGGTTCTAGGTACATAACAGTTATTAGTTATTGAATAAATAATTGTGGTACAGCTTGCTGGTTTTTTGTTTTTTTTTTTTTAGTTTAGAAGAATGGCTTCCACCATGCCACAAATGCTGATAAAATAAATTGAATTGTATCAATCCTGCTTTTACACTTTCAATGGCATCCTATGCAGCATTTTCCTGTCTCCTTTAGCATGCCTTTCCAGAACTTCCAGGCTCTGGCCCCGACTTACCTTCCCAGCTCTACTAGTTACTGTCTGTTGCCCGTCAGCATTCATTTCCACTCCCCTTATAAGTTCTTTATCAGGGTCTGGAAGCCTGGGAACTACATTTCCCAGATCCCTTTGCTGCCAGCTTCTAGATGTGATTCTGTCAGTTAAATGCACTCATGCAGGATTTGGTAGAGAGAAAGGAAGCTGAGGCTGTTCTTCCTCTTACACTAGGAGCAACTCGTGCACGGATTGCAGCAGACTGAGTTTTTGCAGCAGCCATTCTTTATTCTACTGTCTAGCCCAAGACAAGGTACAGCTATATATTGGCAGTAGCATCATACTGTTCCCAACCGTCCACAAGGAAACAGCATCCCCAAACCTCTGCGTAGCAGCGATGCTGACATGATCTAAACACTTCACAACAACGCCCTGACTTCTACTTTCCCTCCCTTCCAGCAATTTTATAAGCACCTAATTCCCTCTATTAAAAGTTTCCTGCTAGAAATACCTAGAGTGTTTTCTAATTTCTGCACAGAAGCCAGCAGTCCTATCTCCGCCAAGCCCCGCTCCTCCTCCTGCACCCGTCCTCTGTCAATCACTCCACTCTCAGTGCTCACGTCCTTCATATCCTTTTATGTGCTCTTGCCTTTGCACAGCCATCCTCTTCCTAAAATGCCCTCCTCCCACCCCCATTTTTCTTTCTTTATTAGGCCTTCTCACACGCATCTTCCAAAATCCAGTCCAAATGGCCCTCGCTCAGGAAGAGTGAGTTGGTTTCCCACCATACTGTGAGATCCTCCAAGGCAGGAATTAAGTTTTTCTCATCTAGGGCCTAGCACTGTGCTCAATGAGTATATGAATAAATGGTCCACCAAGCTGAAGAAGGATACACAGTATTGCACCTTGAGTTATCAGGGCAGCTGTGCCTTAATATGCAATGGCAACATGAAAATAGTGAGTACAATAAACAGCAGTTTCTCACCAGAACAAACATTCACTGATTCTCACCACAATCAAACCATGCATAGCCTCACCCCACCAAAGTCATGCTAATCATTTATTCATTCAATAAACATTTACTGTTACCATGTAAATGGAAGTAGTCTTGGTGGAGGGGCTTTTTCTCTCTTTTTCACCTTTTTTCTCTCTTTAATAATGATAGAGAATTATAGAAATGTAGTGCCCAAAGGAATCCTGAAAATTAGCTTATTCACTCTCCTATGTTTTACAGGGGGGAAATAGAGGCAAGGGGTTTAAGTGACTGGGCCTGGATCACGCAGCTACTTAACCACAAAGCTGGACCAGAACACAGGACTCCAAATAACCTGGTCCAGCACACTTGTCCCTACGCCATGCCACTCATCAAGCTAAAGCAAAATCTTTTAACAAAATGTTGAAGGAGCTGTCCATACATATCTATCCAATTTTCAGGATGTGTGAATTTTATAGACCACAAACTTGGGTGTACAGAACGTTGTGACATTATTATACCTTATTACAGACAGTCTTGTTCTCTTTGCACAGCAAACTGTGCAAAGCCATCTTAACATTGGGCCTGGGTTTGGGGCAATGAAATCGCCAGGTAGAGAACAAGAAATAGGGGTGGGAGGAGGGCGATGCAGGCAGAGAGAATGGCTGTGCAAGGGCAAGGACGCAGAACTGCAATTATTCTGTGATCTTTAAAATTTTTATCAAGATGCTAAAAACCCTCTTACTGTTGACTATAAATATTAAGGGAAATGAAAAAGTAGTAAAACTAATGTAGTTATGTAATTTAAAACATTAGGAACATTGAGAATTAAAGTGTTTTTCAAAAACAATAGAAGAGCACTTACTTCTTCGCTGTATAAATTATTCTGAGCACAGACCGTCTTTCCTGTGTCCTGATGGATGATTATACTCCGTTCTAAGTTTGGGTCAGCTTCCAAATGTGACCCTTCGCACATTCAATTCCAAGAAATAGCTCTAAGATTTCCTTTAACATGAAGGTTCTGCAGGCAGGACTTTCTCCGGGGCCTCTTCAGACTTTCATCACAATCACTTTCCTCACGTGTGGTGATCAGTTCACCTCCATTAAGCTCGTCTGACCGTGCATCTCGGGTCTCTCACGGGTGCCGGTGTCAACATCCTCACCATCAACTCTCTCTTCTCTTTCATAAATTCTCTACGTTTATGTTTGCTTCAAACTTCACCTCCAGCATTATCAGTTTTTGTTTCTTTGCTTCATTTCATGTTTCTTGGCCAATTCTGTCTTTCAAGTATTCATTTTATTAAAATACTGTGTGTGTCATCAGGAAACACAGTGACAACATGACTATGTGCTTTGCTACCCACATGAGTAGACAGACTTTGTGCATGGACAGCGGACTATGAAAGAAGTGATGTGATTGGTCACTGGTCACAATGGGCATCTGTTATTTATGCAGCGTTTGTGGACGGAAGCAGTGAAGTTTGTATTTGTATGAATTACATACACTTAATGTATTACATCATAGTAACTGAAATTTGAGCCATGTTATTGGAGACTGGTGTTATTTAACTAAACACGGTAACTGACATGTGTGCATATCAGAACTGTAGAAAGCAAGGACTTCTTGCATATATTTTGTGATTGAAGTTAATTTCTATTTTAGGCTCTCATTCTGCCTTGTGGCTGAAATTGATCTGTCAATTCAGAATAAGATCTATCAGTTCAGCTCCCCTCTCCCACACACGGACACTTCCTGCCACTCTCTAGAAGCAGCACTTTTCGTAGCAAGTATTAAAAACATAATTCAAACAGGTAGAAGCGACCAGGGGCCTAGTTGGCTCACATAACCAGCAGCACAGAGTGGGATGATGACTCCAGCTTGTTTTCGCTCCCATCCCTTCCGTTCTGCTTACTCCATATGTCACTTTTATCCACAGGCTGCAGCAATTACAGCCACACTATCCAACTTGAAAGGAAGAGAAAAAACAATTCTTCGGAAGTTCTTCCAGAGGAGTAAGAGAGAACTTTCTCAGAGTGCCCTGGAAAATCTCTCCTCTGTTCTTCTCGGCCCAAATTGCCTTCCATGGCCATTTCTAGAACAATTACTGGCAAGGGATATAGGACTACCTTTACTCCACTTAGCCTTATCCCCGAAACTGAAGCACCTGGGCTCTGTCGGGGAGAGGTTGACACCTGAACAAAATTTGTGTTCTGTTAGAACAGGAAAAGCAGGAAATGGACGCTGGCTAGCAATAGCAAGTTCAATACAACTCCACCCCCTCTCCCCGCAGTCACCTGCGTCAGGGCGTGGGGAAGGACAACTGGTCCTCAGTCCTCATCTGTTCATTGACATCGGCTGAGATGTCCCCTTTTCCTTCTGCTCTTCAGTCCCTATCATCCCTTTTGACTTCCTCGCACACCAAGTCCACCCCCGGCATCCCCCGCTGGGCCTTCCTCATCCAACCACAAGGTGTCTCCGAGTGTGCTGCTCCTCAGCCCCACGTTTACCACACTCCTTGCAGCCCCTAGGAACACCGTTAGTTTTGTAGGATGATGATCTTTCAACTGCTTTATGCACAACTCAGGGGCCCAGGAAAGTCTCATGAGGTTGTCTCTGATTTTCTCTGCCAGGATGGTTTCAGGTAAGACCAGGATACAGTCTCATGTCGTGTTCAATCGGTCCCTTTGGAGCCGCCATTTGTAAAGCTTCACCTTGGTGTGCAAAGCAGTTACCTTTTTCAACCGTGCAAGGCCACTATGGTAAAGTATTTCAATCATTTCAAAGGCATAAACTTTAGAAAAACTCGTCTTCTACGTATATAAAGGTGTTTATTGTCCAATTGTTTGTAACAACAAAAAGCTATACACAGACTAAAGTTCCAACTCCATGGATAAATTGTGATCTATTCATATCACATACTACTATTGAATGCTTTGATGCAATAACCAGATCTACATACATCAACATGGATATATCTAAAACATATAATGTTGAATGGGAAAAGTAAGTTGTAGAAAGATATGTACATTTTACATTACACATATTTTTAAAGCACTTTTGTAATACAATATGAAAGAATAAACATAAAATTATTTATTCTAGCATCAGACTAGGGTTACTTCGAGAAAGGTGAGAGTTTAAATGAGAAGGGATTGGCAGGAGTGCCTGGACTGCACCTACGATGTTTAGTTTCCTCTTTAACAAAGGGATCTGAAGTCAGTATGGCACATGGTAACAGTGGTAATTCTGGGATGTGAGTCCTTGCGTCTTTGTTATATTAATCTCTATACTTTTCTGTATGTTACAAATACTTGGTAATCTTAAAATTAAAATAAATATTTTAACGTAATAACTTTAGAAAATGACTACTACCTGTTTACCATAAATCAACGGTTCCTAGACTTTGAGTTTTCACGGGTGCGGGAGGTTGTAACGTCATCGAACGTCTGCTGCCGCTTCCTGGAGGACGTTTGTGCATCCTCACTGTGCTGGACTCGGCAGAGGCCATGAGCTTGCTTTTTCCAAAGAAATGTGTATGGGAGTGGTGTGTGTCCCCACAGAGCGGAAGTTTTCAGAGGTTGCTCATGGTCTTCCATGTCTGTTGTTTCCTCTGCCAGGAAACCCCGTGTCCCAGAGCGGGGCCGCTCTGCCAGGGTCTCTGCAAGGAGCAGAGACGGAGCCATCCTGCAGTGAGCATGTCGCATGAGCAGAAATAAAAGTTGTTCTCAAGTCACTGAGATCTGGGGTTGTTTACCACCTCAGCCTAATTCAGGCTTTCCTAACCGGCACAATTTCGAAAGCATAATAAATGAGGAAGAACATAGCACGGGCTTTCAAAATCACTATTAACACCTCCCAGCATCATCTTTTTTTTTTTCCCTGATGCAGAAGACATTATAGAAAAATAAGGAAGCGTTATTTAAACTCAGTAAATTCAACACTTTCCCCTACTGCCACAACCTAATTTGGCATCAGGCTTATGGAAAGCTCCATCACAGACTGGCTTTTGGGATAAACGAGTGATTTCAACCTAGGGTGTACAAACAGTTTTCAAGGGATAGGTATAGATTCAAATAATTTTAGGGGAATCAACTTTCTTTGTATCTTCATATTCCATTTGTATTCATTTCTAAAACTGACAATCTTGGTAACTTCTAAAACTGATAAACTGGATAGCCTTGGAAATCTCTGGGCAACTGTTACACGCTGGTATGTTACTTTGTGTTATATTATGTTACAATAAGTTACATTATGTTATGCTGTGTTTGTTGTGCTGTGCTGCGTTGTGTTGTTATAGTACTCTGTTCCCATCTTTCTTTATCCAAGCCCTTTTTCTCCCATTAAAAAAGAAGAGTTTACTTGCCACACAATCGAAGGTTACAAATGTGCACTGTTTGGGGCATGGAAATCTGTGGGAAGTCCATCATAGGGACAATTTTAAATATGGGTATCTGTGCTGGGAAAGTGAATGACTAATGACTGGGTACCAAATCCTTCTGCACATCAGGTGGCTTTCTCTTGCTGTCAACACCATTGAAGCAAAACTAAGCCAGACGTCCACTTATCATCAAAAAAAAAAAACTGAAAGAGCACGAGGTCATTTTTGGCAAATAACTCAGAAATTATTCGAAGAATTGAGTTACATTGCCTAAAAGAGTTTCTTCCAGTATCATTACTTATTTCTGTGATTGAAGTTCCTTGAAGCTTACAGCTAGAACAAATAATAAATCAGATAACATTGAAGATGATTCTTCTCTCATTCTGGCAATAACAAATATTCATCATAGATAAATCAACTAATTTTTTAAAAGCCCCATCTATCTCACTAAAAGGTAGATTTCTAAACAAAGCACTACTTTTAATGTTTAACAATGATTGATCAATATTTGTCATATATTTGTGTTTTTTAATCAATTGCGTACTAAAAAATATAGATAACTTAAGCCTTATAGTCAGAGAAAAATTTTGTAATTTAAATTCTAATTTATATACTTATTTTTGTTACAGAGAAATATATATGTAAAATGTAATATACATAGCATTATGTGTAACATTATATACTTATATATGAGAAATATATGTATAAAACATTAGAATATAAGTCTGTTGGAGAAGCGGAATTCGAATCTAAGTTTAAGGAGGAAAAGGAATTATCTGAAAATTACTCATTAAAAGAGCTTGCTCACATAATTTTTAAATGGCTGATGGTGTACATCGAATTCCTTTGGTATTTAGGTGCCATTGTATACATTTAAAGGGGTGATATAGTAGTTTTATTTTAAAATGTCGATATTCATAGCCATAGAAGATTATATTTCTTACAACCATTTAAACTTACAATTAAAATTTTACCTACCAACATAAGAATGTACCAGAGTTTTTCAAAATTACTCTAAGGGGTGCATAAAGCCATCTGCAGACCCTCTCACACCCACCCTTCGCCCGCAGCGCCCAGCAGGCTCCCCGCGTCGCCCACACGGTGGCAGTAGTGTCTGTGCAGAACGGACTTCGGAATCTAGACGACTTCTAAACCACTCCCCCATTTCATTTGTATCAACATGTTAAATAAACAGTGTACATATTGCATTAGGACAATTAATGTCCCCTGTGACTTACCAGTGCTGAATTTCAAAATATTTTATTAAATTTTCCAGTCATGTAGCAAATAAGCTATAGCTATAAATACCAGAGCTATCTAAATCTCTTTTCGCCCACCTGGGAATGACCAGCCATTAGAGTGTTTTTACGCTCCTCCCTGATTTGCTCCCTCAGCTGCTGACACAGTCTCTGCCCAGCCCCCAGCCTCCGTTGCTAAGCAACTAAAAGAGCTTTGTTGTTCTTGAACACTAACTATGAACTGCCCTCATTTTCTCTAATGAGAACGTGGCTGCAGTCCAAATTACCTCCTTTTCCTGAAAAACAGAGCAGGATGCTTATGACTTATGCTAATAGTAAGGCAAGTCACATCCCAATAGATAAATGCAGGAAAAGGAAACCCAGACTGCTCAAGCAGCTCGGAACACAATGCCGGAAAGCTGGACTAAGGAGGGCTAATTTGGCCTTGCTAAGAAGGGCGTGCTATCACTGAGACCTACTATCCACTAGGCACTGTGCTAAGTACTGCACATTTATTATTTTTTTAACTTTCAAATATTATTTATTTTAATACCCAACTCTATCTTTCGAAGGTTTTTATACCCCAGGACAGAGCAACTTTCTAAGATCCAGTTGGGTGCAAGATATGCTGTTTCTTTGAGAAAGGGCTACTGACAAACGGGAAGTGGGAACAGAAAACTCTGACAGATAACCAGTCACCAGTTATTCCTAGCCAAATCTGTTTTTTTTATTTTAATTTTTACTTTAATTTTGCAGATCAGAAAGCTGAGACCCATAGGAGGTAAACGATTTGCCTAAGTGACAGAGCCAGCAAATGGCAGATTTAGATTCTGCCAGACGCGAACACCATCATACCACACTGCCTCTTATTATGATTGAGTTCAGAATGTTGTAGGAATTACTGTCTAAGCTCATTAATTCACAATAAGGGTCTTTGTCCAACATGGACAAGTTGATGAGAATTTCTACAATGAGACTCTGGCAGGCTCCACTCTATGCGTGAACGGCCTTGGACCCACTCGGGTTTAAATCTCGCGTTGCCACTTGTATAACCTGAGAAAGTCACCTCCTCACTTTGCACCTCAGTTTCTCTTCTGTAAAAATAAACATAAACAGTATCTACCTCCTAGAGATGATTTGAAATGTTGCGTATTACTCAGGATATGTTAAATGCTGCAATGGACTCCCAAATGTGTAATGGCTCAAACGTCTTACGCGTGCCCTCCTCACTCACATCGGAGTTCAAGGCAGGCGTGCTCGGGGGCAGCACACCTCCCCTGCAGGGTCACGGGTGGAGAGCAGTTCCGCTACCTTCAACAAAGGACTTGCACCATCACCCTGGCATCGTCTCCACCCAGGGAAGCTAGAAGCGGAAAGGAGTCGGAGAAGCTTGTTTGGGAGGCTTTTTCAAGTCAGCCCTGGAGCCAGGACACATCACTTTCACTCACATTCTACTGGCTGGAGGTCAGGCACATGGAGTCAGCCATCTGCAAGAGGCTGGGAGATGTAATCTGACTGAGGGCCCCAGAAGAAAAGGACAGAATTTGGAGAACGCCTAGCAATTTCTGCAGAGGATCACGCTCTGTAATCATTTCTTACCACACACATGGTGAGAGTTCAATAAGTGTCAGTTTCTCCCCTTCCTCCCTCCCTCCTTTCTTTCTTGCTTTTTTTCTTTCTCTTTCTATCATCCATTACTCTCTATAGAAAATACTTATATCACATATAACCATTGATTACAGTTTGACAACGCTTCAATTGACATTAAAACTCTAAAATAGAGATGAAACTTTTATAGCAAGTAACTTCTTGTAAGCAGGAATCTAAGCCTATTCAACAAACACTAGCTATTTTAATTATGATTATGATTTCCTCTTTTCTGAGTCGTCGTTGACTACAGAATACTTGATTTACTAAACCACAAAATAAAGACATTTTCAAAACAACACTGGATTCTCCAAGTTTTGCTTTGTAAATATTCTAGAATATAATATGTTCTCAGAGTTGGAAGAGTCTCTCAAGGTCAATTTGTCAAATATCCTCAGTTTAGAGGTGAGAAAAATAAAGCGTAAAGTGAAGTGGCATATCCAGAGCTAGTCAATGGCAGGGCTGGAGCCCTTGACTTCTCGTCAGGATGAGGAGGAAAAATGCATCCAAAGCCCTCATCAGTGCTCAGGAAGGGGCTGGAGTTCCTGGAGAATTCATGCAGAGTGTCTGAGAACCCAGAGGAGCTGGACACAGGCGTGGAAACAGCCCTGACTGCCTCAGAAGGATGATGTTAAAATGGCAATTTTATTTAGAATCAATATCATTTTTGGTTGAAGTTGCTTATCAAATTAGCTAAACAATTTCAAGCAAGAAAAAGAAATTAGGAGAGTTAACTTTTGATGAGAGAATAAAGTGAGAATTGGGGAAAGTCCAGATCAGGGTGGGAGGAAGGGTTTGGAAAGACAAACTAAGTGGAACAAAGATATTTGCACGGGGCGGGGACAGCGCTGGGCCGGGGTGGGGGATAGGGGGCGGCTTCAGCATCCAAGAACCAGCTTAAAGGCTTTGAACATCTCCGAGAAAGGGTCTTTCTAACCTTATTTATTAAACACAGCAGAGCTCAGAGGGCAGGAGGACAGATGACATCACACCATTTTAAAGATGAGCACATTAATGCTCAGGGAGCACATGACTTGCCAAAAGAAAGGGGAGGGCTGGGACTGGAACCTGGGCTTCTGACTCCACTAGGCTTTCAGCTAACACACGCCACAGGAAAGGAGCATCGAGTTACCAGAGACAAGCTTCATTCACTTCGCGATTTCACTGTTACAGGCCATGACAGCTTCATGGTAAATATGGCCCCAATTCTCTACCCACCCTTATTTATCTTTATAGTTGCTCCTATCAACTGGTAGAATCCATTTCCTCATCCCTTAAGTCTGCCTGGCCTCGTGACTTGCTCTAGCTAATAGAATGAAGGAGAAATGATGACATGCCAATTTGAAGCCAGACCATAAGAGACCTCATATCCTTGAGCTTTCTCTACTTTGGACTCTTCCTGCCTCCAAAATGAGAAAAAATTGGGGCTAGCCAACTGCAAGATGAGAGACCATTTGGTGTAGAGATAATTCATGCCAACAGAGACCTTCCTAAACCAGCTAGATCCCAACCAACGCACCAGCTGACAAAAACACATGAACAAGCCCAACCAAGATCAATCAAGCCCGGCCCAGGTCAGCAGACCTGCCCAGTAGACCCACAGACTAGGAATAGTAAACGGTTGTGGTTTTAAGACATTACACCTTGGGATGACTTGTTACTCAGCAATTGCTAACTGATACAAGAGAAATCTTGCATTCAGAGCCAGAATGAGGATCAGGGTAACCCAACAATCCACAAAGATTCACCCAAACATTGCAGGAATATGCTGGAAATGTGTGCCAATGACCTCTAGTTTCTGCAGCTTTCTTACCTAACTCACAAAATGTATATTGCTCCTGCTTCTGTCTGGTTTTAGTCACAACCACACTCCTGTTAAATAAATTCTGAACAAATATGTAAAAAAAAAATTAATCCAAAGGCATCAACCTTGCCTGCGTTGTATATAGATTAGAGCATTAACATGCTGTTTGAGCAGTGTACTAATTGTTCTCATTTCCTTGGAAAACATCAAAAGAGAATGACAAGAGGAATGCTTTTTTAGTCAAGAAATGGAAAATTTGTTAGGGCTTTGAGAGGTAAGATCAGCTCAAAATTTGATGGCTGAAAAAGATGTCTCCTTCCTCCCTTCTTCCTGAACAACTCGTCGTGTGTCACAGGCTAGCCCTTAGAATATCAGTTCCAGACACCAACGCATCTTCAGACTTTGCTGAGTTTGGAGTTTGAAGGGTCAAGTTTCAAGAAAACCAGGCAAAGTCATTTATGAGCTGCGTGAGACTGGAAATTCCATGTGGTTTCTGACTTGTAAAAAGTAAAATAATATTTTTTAAAAAACTCTATCTTCTCCATCCAAACTTGTTTTCTTAAAGTATAACCTAGTCTTGTGGTTAGTCTCTAAAACGAAGTATTTTAAGAGGTCTCCTTTGGAAATAAAACCGTTATTCAAGTTCGCTTTCGGTCTGTGTCAGCAAGTATTCCCACATGCGGCTTGCCAGCAGGCTCTCGCTGCCACGTTCCTCAAGGCAGCCTGCCTTTTTTCAGACCTGGGGGAGACGGAGAAAGGGGTGATTCGACAGTTACGTTTTAGATCTAGTTAATACTGAAAACATTTAAATAGAGTGTAAGGAACTCAGTCGTCTTACGCCAGAGGCCAATTATCCACCCACTTCACTTATGATGAAGTATTGTTCAGTGGTTAG